AAATGTGGAATAAAGTTGTTATTTTTGTTTTCTTTGTGCAAAAAAGCATTCTCCTAGCTTCGTAACTTTAGAGTTGAACCACTGATGTCACACGGACTACTTTGTCGATCATCTTGGTACTTTTCTGGACCTTGAACGTGGTAGTTACCTTGGTGTCTATGGGAGGGTCAGAGAGCCCTCAGATTTCATCAAAAATATCTTAAATTGTGTTCCGAAGATGAACGAAGGTCTTACGGGTTTGGAACAACACAAGGGTGAGTAATTAATGACAGAATTTTCATTTTGGGTGAACTAACCCTTTAAGGTGAATACAATTTTTCTTTTGTTTTGTCCAATGTAATGTTCTAGCATGAAAATATCCATATAATACCATCTGCCAATGAATAGCAATAGCAAATCCATAAAAATCGTGACTGTGAATTGTTTCATTATTAAAAAACGGGATGGACAGCGAGACAGCTCTCTACAGTTTGGAACAGAGATAACCTGTCTATGTTCAGTTATCTGTTTATGTTTCGCATTTTGAAGTTTTAATCAAATCTTTATTTGTAGGACACAAATGCAGAGTTAGCCGAGCACGCAAAGGACATGGAAACGCTCCAGAAACTGACTGAGGAACTCGGCAAGCTGGGTCCAGAAGGAAGCACAGCTCTTCTTCAGAGCAAGATGCAGAACATCTCTGACAACTTTAATGCTTTTAAAGAGACAATTACTGAGAAGTAAGTGATTATTAAGTAACAGCACTTAGCATAAAAACAATACTTAGAATAAAAACACAGACTATGCCTCAAATTATGATATTGTTTTATTCCAATGTGTCCCATTAATTTTTTATACTTCTCTAGGCTCTGAAATATGTCCCTGTTATTTATTTAATTGGATAAAGTGACGCTAGAACTGTTATAGAATTAAAACCATGTGCTATAATGGAACAGTATTACAAGAAATGTAATATTATTATTTATGCTTTTGCCAGATGTCAAACTATTTAATAAAACTCTATATGCATATGCGTCGTGTGTATTGCAGAAAAGAGGAGGTTTCATCCTGCCAGAAGCAGCTGCAGGAGTTCAAAGCTGCCGCAGGGGTGTTAATGAAATGGCTGGAGGAGACAAAAGAGCAAGTGCCAGTGCTTCAGCCCAACTGCAGTGAACAGGGCCTGGGAACAGACCTGCAGAAAGTCAATGTGAGTGATGGACTTAACTTTTCACCTATTATTGTGGGACCACAAAACCTTCAGGACAAAACGATGATGTAAATGAACAGAAAATAACTAAAAGAAGACACACATCTCACTGAGCATGGCTGACTCTTCATTTAGAGGCACTTTTAACCATTTAAAACCTATTTGTCAAATTTTGTTGACAAATTTTTAATAATTGTTTTGTAAAATGATGGTAACAACAGCATTGTTTCTAGCATTGCGACATATTTGATATAGAAAAGAAGAAAAATGGCAAAGCATTGCATTTTAGTACTTTTTGTGAAATTATAATAGAAGAACTGTTTGTGTGGGAAAGAAGCCCAAAATAGAATAATTCTAGCAAACATTCTATCGCACTGATCAGCACTG